ACATAAATTAATGTGAAAATGGTCACAAAAAAGACAAATAAAGTATCTTAAATGTACAAGAACACATTTATACATCTCTGTACTCACTCTGGTGGGTTGAACGGTCCTGGAAAAGCAAAGAAAACACATTAAGAACTGTGTCCACATGAATAATGCTGTTTGTTTACAGCAGACATGACTGTTTTTACTCTTGTTCATGCTGAACCAACATTTAGACCCTGAATTCATTTCTTTGCAGAAGCGTCTTTGAGTTTAATACAAGTAAAGCTACAGTGTAGGCTGCACCAAGGGTCGAGGCTATTTCCAGCATTTACACTGGTGCATGGTGTGCCTGTGTTATAGTGTAGGGAGGGGCTCGTGAGGTTACAGCAGGTTACTTATGTTCTGTAAGATCCCCCTAAAAGGTGAGCCACTCTGTACTCTGGGCAGCTTTTCTTCAAGGACCTCTACTTCCATCCTTCCTCCAGTACTAACCGGTTTTTCCTGACCCTGCAACACAAAGGCCCCCTGGCATGATGCTCATCTTGGAGACTACGTTAGCCTTCACATAGCTAATCCAGGGGGCACTGCTCGGGTGATGAGGAGTGCTCGTAGCTCTGCCTAAGTGGGGCAAGCAGGTCATCGTATGCTTTTTACACAAGGAGTAGAGGATTTCTAAAGCTCTGTTAATTTGTGGCCCAAGCGTACACAGTGTTCCCGGGACTACACGGCTCGGCACGCAGTGCACATAGGGGGACCTTGTGTGCACAGGTGCAAGCCTTCGGCAACTACTTCAGCTCTTATTCATTCAACTCACAGGTGGAATTCCTTTGTGGCCAATCAGTCAGTGTTTTTAATTTTCAGAAGTTAAACTGACATGAAAAATGTCACAAGAATACTTTCTACTATAAAATATTTTCCCTTGATGTTGTGATGCATACTTCCATGAATATTTGTTCCCGTGAGTGTTAATGCAGACTGTCACGTTTCAGGCTGTGCAGGTATGTGTGCTCACCTCTGCTGTGCATGGTTCTTCTCGAGTAGCGTCTGCTCGGTCTCCTCTCAAATGATGCCGAGCGCCTTGCTTTGCTGGCCTTTGTTGTCTGGTATTCGGTCTTGCCGCTGATCGTGCAAACACAAGAATTTCTTTACAGTTGCAAACACTATTTGTTCCCAACAAACATTTCTTTCTTAACGATGCTCTGTGACAAAAACAGGCGCAGCAATGACCCCTGCTGAACCCTGAAAGCATCCAGGCGATAACCTTTCATTAACAACAAACCCCTTCAACCCCCGTGTTAAATCAACATTACTGCAGCGCTTATCCAACTGGGTAATGTTTAAACACACAGTTGGGAAGCAGCTTGCTACTGCAGCATGTTGATACCGAGTGCCTGTCAGTACCACTGCAAGTATCTGTGTGTACACACATGGGCTACTTGGCATGTATAGAGAGCGATTAAGTACTGTTTGTCAATCTGAGACGGTCTTCTTGGCGCACAATGACAAACAAACACATCAAATTTGTGACATATTAATCTCGAGCAGTCTGCCATAATCCCCAGTTTACGTTTAAGTCTAACTGCACATGTTTCCCACCACAACCATATTTCTCAGAGCAAAAATCCTAATTTTATCCTGTGATTTCCTTTTTAAAAAAAGCTTGGGAATGATATTTTTTATAATCTGGGATGTAAGGTTACATAAAACTGACTAAGACCATATACACACAAAGACGCCCTGGCTGTGCATCTCTCACCTGTATCTGAAGCGTGAGCCCATGCGTATGAATCCAGAGCGTGCAGAGTTCTTCTCCACAGGTCCTCTCAGCCTAAAGAAAGCGTGGTGCTCCACAGCGCACTTCCAGAGATGCTTACAGGCCTTGGGGTGGTCCATCCTGAAGACAAAGGTGTGCTCCTGCTCTTTACCCTGAGGAGAATCGGGACAGGGTTGGACTCGATTAAAGCAGTTTGACATCATTAGAGCAAATTGTGTGAACTTCTGCAGCTGGAGTAGAACTTGAAACTGCAGCAGTGATCTGGCAGGTAAAAAGGACTCAAACTCATAATCAGTGATGTTTTTATTTTTATTTACAATTTTTATGATGAATCTAATATTTTAAGTATAGTTTAAAATCACTGCATTTTACCAGAATGCAGGTTACCGCCCCCTATTGATCAATAGAAACATTACTGGAAAAACTGCATAACAAGTTTTGATTATTTTTTCCACGTCTGCATTACATGCCCCAACTACGCATGTACTTTAGCCATGCATAGACTTACTGAAGTGTAATAGGAATGACTACTTGGTCATCGAACCTCCAGCTTTTTGCGTCTGCGATGGAGTACAATCAGAGCTTTCCTTACTGAAGGGGCCTGATATGCGAGGAATGAACGGCTGTACCACCAGCGCAGGTGCTGCCTCATTAATCTGATTTCTCAGAGAGACGTGGATGAAAGCCCGGCTGGCACTGCAGCCAGTTACAAGACCTGGAGCCAGTCCAGTGCCAGTCACACCGTTTCTGCATTTTCATCTATTCTCAGGTGTTCTTCTGGTATTTCACACATGCATGAAGCTACACCCCAACCTCCCACTCCAAGGGGGAAAAACACAGCATCCCTTACACAACAGGGGTTTCAGCAAAAAACAGTCATGTGAGTTAACAGAGACTGGCCAGCTGTTAGGAAAAAAATGGTTTGAAATTTAGAGTGACAGATGAGGGGAAGTAACTGCTTCACTTCCTCCACCCGAGCAGACGGGTTTACTGTCAAAGTGTGTGTGTGTGCGCGCGCATCACAGTACTACAGCATACATTTGTTAAAGGACAGAGTTAGGAGGTGAAAACTGTGTGTGCGTGTGTACCTGTTTAGACGTCTTTATAAGGACAAGAAACTGGCATTCTACTATAATTGTGAGGACACACACGCTGATCCTCACAAGTTTGAAGGTATTTTTGATGCTCAAAATGTGGTTTTAATGTCAGGGTTACGATTAGGTTTAGGGTCAGGCATTCATTTTTGATGGTTAGGGAAAGCATTATGTCAATTAGATGTCCTTGCTAAGACAACAAAACGAGAATGTGTGTGTGTGTTGGGAGGTGCATACCAGAAATACCAGAGGGGGCAGGCTCCTTTATTAACCTCAGTCAAAGACCCGAGGGATGGACACAAACAGACGCTCCTCCTCTCGCTCTCTCTCTCTCTCTCACACACACACACACGCACACCTCCCTGTTATAATATGGATTGGGAACAACATCAAACAAAGTTTTTTGGGGGGATTTTTCTTTGTTAGGAAACAACAAAAAATGTTGTTTGTTGGAATTTTCTGAAAGGACTTAGAAAATGATTTTACACTGTAAGATTAACTTTTCTCAAAATGCTGAAATTCATCCTGATTCGTGTTTCTTTGTGGAAGCTGACACATTAGATGTGTTCAGTGAGTTTCATTAGATCGAACAGTGTAGAGTTACAGCTGCAAAGTAAAGTTTAGCTTTTATAGCGTCTGGTATTTTGTAATTTACTTCAACCAGACCAGCTGAGAAAAAGGATAAAAGTTCATTCAAACAGGAGCAAACGTGCAGCAACTAGAGTTAATAAAAGGTTTGAATTTTGTTAAATTAGCTTTTATTCTTATTTCATTTTGATTTTTTTCCCACTTCTGTTTAGTTTCATTAAAGGTTTTTTTTAATTTCGGTTTTATTTGAGTTTATTATGACTCAGAGTGAAAAATTGGATAACTCAGAACAGCCACAGTAATGGAGACTTTGCAGCCTAACGCACACACAAAAACACCTGCTCGCACCTGATGTGCTGAATAATGTGAGCACACTGCAGGTGTTAAAGACATTTTATCTATATTTTGAATTTAATTTAGTCTTGTAAGCACAGGAGTTAAAAAAATTTTTACACCTGGTTTTACTTTGTTTCTATTAACATTAAGAAGATACTGCCCGTCTACTCCGTATTCTCCACGGTCTGCTGCCCGTCATGTATGCGTCGTGTGTGTGCGCTCGTGATCACCTGATCATCATCCTCCACGACCACAAGCGTCAGTTTGCTCTTCTTGAAATCCAGACGAGTGATCTTGGGCCTAAGACAGTCACACAGGAAGGCAGGACAAAATATTATGTCTATAAAGCATGAAAGAAAGAACAAAAAATTAGGTCCGAATGAAACGTACCAGAAGAAAAGGCCGATCTTAGTTTGTCCTTCAAACACCAGAACTCCAGTGGGTGTCAGGCCCAGGCTGTACTCGTTACCATCTCGAGCCTGCAGGGCAGAAGTGATGAAAAGACAGGAAGAGAGAAGAAAGAAGACACATCAAAGAGCTCACATTATGATCTTATCATATGCTAATGTTGCAATGCACATTCCTTTCTCTTCCTGTCTTTCATCAAGGGCACTTTCTGTTTGGCATCCTACGTGTGCTTGATGTGTGTGTAAACGGTACAGAAAGACCGTGTCACTTACCTTCACCATATGCATGTCCACCCCGTACATTTCGAGCCACTTGGCTTTATTCAGGTAGTTGATCTCAGCCTGCGCTGGTGTCTGACCTCTGAAAAAGGTGAGGAGGAAACACATGCATCAGACTACACTCCCCTCCTTCCCTCCCACCGCTTCATGTGCTTTCCCTTTGCCTCCTCATCCCCCAAACCAGCTGTGGACTCGTCTGGTTGTTGGGGATCTCTTTAATCGTTGGGTCTTTACCGTCTGTTGCGATTTAAAACAACTTTGTGCGAATTAAATTTTAAAAAAATGAAAGTGCAGTCCTAAGATGTTTGGCGTCTATGGCAGCGTGGCCATTACATGACTTTATACCTGTGCTCATAAACACACTACCTCAGTAACAACGAAACACTTACCTGCACTCCTTCCATGTGTTATATATAGCCAGCTCCATCTCCTCTGTCTGCTCAGGCATGAAGCGAAACTCTGACACGAGATCCAAATTGTGTTCTAATGGATCACAGTCGCCCAACTCAGCTGCAAACACACAGACGCATCTTTACAGTTAATGATGGAATATTCCCCCCCCCTCATTCAGCATTTTACCAAAATCCCGACTTCAACCCCAGGAAGCACACATGAGGCTCTCCACCATAGAACCAAGTCCACCGGAGCTTATATTTATATTTTTTACCTGCTTTGTCCCGTTTTGGGGACATTTAGAGTTGCTATACATCAATACAACCATTACATCCCAAATTTTAATAATATGAATGCATGAAGTCCATAGTAACTACATAAAAACATGTTTTTGTAAACACACATTTCTAGTTACAGAAATTTCAGGTTTATCCATCAAAACTGTAAATGCAAAACAGTTCCCCAAAATAGTTTCCAACCACAGGAAATGTATTTTGAGTGTTTTCATAGTTTCATTTTTGAGATACACCATTTTTTATAAACTGCAGGAAAAATAAAATAAATGTTGTTGTGCCCAATTTGCATAAAAACAGCATGTTCATCAAAATAAACTATTTCCACCAGTGAACTTAAGCTTCTCAGAAACTATACAAAAAGCCATAAAGTCAAGCATGACTTTCAAAAACACCAGTAAACCTTTGAAAGGCCCTGTAGTGGAAAAAAACGTTCCCATGAAAAATGACGTCACTTCCAGTTTTGGCAGGTAATGGCGAACATGCCATAGTTCGCCCTGATGTTTATTCCAATGTAGGAAGTGCTATGAACAGCTGATCGGATCGGCAAAGCGTGTTTGTGGAATATGTTTTTGTTGTTGCCAGCACTTTTTACACAATTTTTGCAAAGCCATATGTGGAAGGAAACTGCCACCTGGGACAAGTTAATTGGATGATATGCAAGTGCAACTCCTTTGGTTTCATATGCAAAAGAAATTATAGCGCTAGCTTATGTGGCTGCACTTCTACTGGGAATTAAAAACAGTTACACAAATAAGAGCGTGCACGCTCCGATGGGCTTAGAAGGGTTAAAAAAAATTAAATAATTAAATGAATTAATAAAAATTAATTTGTTCTTTATATTTTTCTAGAAAAATAGGAAATGGGTTCAACAATTTATAGAATGTGCAAACACACATGGAAACACAGTATTTAAGGCATGAGGAGAGTTTGCACAATTGCTTGATCGCCCACCGAAACCATTTCCGTACATGGATCAGATGAAGCTCCAGATGCATCTCTCAGGTGTTTTCCTGTTTCTTAAGAACTTGACTTTCAGATACTGTTCATGTGCTGTAGAAACGTCCACGTCATATTTTGTTTGCTGCCACGCTTTCAGCAAACAGCTCTCTGGAAATCACATTGACGGTACAAAAGTATTGTTTTATGCCAGTCTGTGTTATCTTTGCCATTTTCTTAACTAAGGAAGAAAATAAATGCTGAGTTTCTGTGGCCGGCTGCTTGTAACAAAAACAATAATCAAATTTAAAACTGGTTCTTTGCTATGTTTCCTCTGTAGACACAACACTGAGTTAGGGGGTCTTTGAGTGCCTGGATGATTTAGAGGTCAGAGTTACGCGGCTTAAACAAAAGCATTTCCCCGAAAACGGTCGGGTACAAGGATTGGACTGAAAGCGAGAGAAAAAGCAGCCATTGTCCAAAGAAAGAGCACTTTGAAAATTACAGGAAAGTCTGGCTCCATGGAAGCAAAATATAAAGAAATGAGGGGCTGCTCGAGACTTCTGAACACTACTGTGTGCATGAATTCCTCAGATTTAACTGGTTTTATACCGAATCACCCACCTAAAAGTGTCCAATGAGGTAACAGGTATTTCCAGCTGACAGCATAAGAAATAAACCATCACACAGAAAAATTGAGAGAAGGGAAAGAAAGAGTTGTGATTACGGCTGATCTGAGGTGTTTGGATACACAGAAGCAGCTCAGGTTTGTGATCTTCAGTGTTTAGCTAGTCCAGCTGTGAGCTAAGCCTCGGGATAAAGGGGGAGAAAATATAACTTTACTCTATCCCTAAACGTGGACCAACAACAGAAATGTGAAAAAGTTGAAGATAAAGGCAGAAAGCTCAGCTGAGGGGCAGGGAGAAGGCAGAAAGGGTGCTGGATTAGGGGGCCACAGAAGAGGATCGAGCACTAATGAGCTGGCATTTACCCACAATGACCATGTGTAAGTGTGAGCACACAAGGGTTGGTGCACGCAAGCCCATTCCATAAATGTCTCCAGTGACTCAGTCTTTGCTCCTCTGCAGCACCTCTGAAATGGCTCATTGCAGGTAAACACTGGACTTATGAAACAGCTACTGCAGGTGTGTGAAGGTATGAGCTCAGAATGTAAGTCAAAGACTGCCATGACTGGTTCCAGATCAAATACACATTCATTAAACAGGGACACATCAGACACACACAGGCTGCTCTGTACGCATCTGTGATGTGAGAGCCTCGTTGGCACACAACCTCACCAAGAACACCAAGTTAGCATTTGAAGCTACAGCTCTGCAGCCTCGTTTAGTTTGCATGCACTAAAGTTCTCCAGCTGCTGTAAGATCTGGTTGCACGGACTTTCTAAGCTGAATCTCCAAACCAGAACAATCACCAGCTACATAAAACATAAGCTGTGTGTGAAACACTGATGTGCTTACCCTGTAGTGAGAAGGCGGCCAACTCCACAGCTGTGTCAAACGGACATTCGAGCCTAAAAACACAGACATGCAAAAATGAATCATAGTGAAACCCATGAAGCTCAAGCCTGCAGGTTCCCTTCCATAAAGAGGAAATCAGAATTCCATATTTTAATCTCTATTTAATGACTGAATGAAAGCATCTATACTCCAATGACCAGCAGGCCAATATATAATCCTGTAAGGCTCTAAAGGTTACAGGGCAAAGAAAACCAACACAAAGGATTCACATTTAAACACATTAACCAGAGTTCAACAGTCGAGTGTCTCCTCAGATCTGTGTAAACTATAAAGATATTAAAGATTTCACACAGATCTTGTAACAACATATTAAATCAGCAACATTATTTTGATCCAGGTTGTTGTTCAGGATTTGTAGCACAATCTGAGTCACACACCTCAGAGATTTGTAGACGTCCCCCCCACGCTGCCAACATCTCTCTTACTCAGTGAATTTACTTGTTTGACGAGCTGTTGTTAATAACAAACTCCTCGGTAACCCAACGTTAAGCTTACAAGGTCAAAACTGCAAACCCAACATTTATAAAAGGATCACATCTGAGCAGGAGAAGTTCATTTTAACTAGTCAGAGTTTAGAAACTCTGACTGAGGACAGTCTGCAGAGCACACTGAGCTTTAAGCTTACATAT